TTTGTTGTCCGTCCCATCCATTGATGCCGCCAGAATGATAAGCACTCAGCTGACTGAAATGCTTCTCAAGGCAGGCTTCCATCTCAGAAAATGGGCAACTAACGCACCCGAGGCCATAGAGCACTTGTTCAGTGCCGAGCGTGCTGAGTCACCGGTAACGTTGTTGGTTGCAACCCGCTCATGCACCCAACCCTTGTTATACAATAGGATGCTTTACGAGACGAATTCTGTTTCCAGTGTGATATACCGAGAAGACCGCACACGAGACGCGGCATATTGTCATCTGTGTGTTCCTTTTTTGACCCACTTGGTATTATGGCACCGCTTTGCTTACCACCTAAGCAATTACTACAAAGGCTGTGCCGAACCGGCCTTGGATTGGGCACTCCTATCGACCAGTCATGTGCAAAAGAATGGACAGATTGGGTTGACTTTATCACCTCGCTCGGTAAAATCAGACAATCTAGGTGTATGTTCCCTGTGGACGTTAGCTATTGAGGTGAAGCAGAGCTGCACCCGTTCAGCGACGCCTCAGAGACCGGATATGGGGTTGCTGCTTACGTTCGGTTCTGTGCGGGGCTTAATCGACCATGTTATCGATTGCTTTTCGGTAAGTCGAGAGTGTCCCCTCTCAAGACAGTATCGATCCCTCGGCTGGAGCTAACAGCAGCCGTGCTTGCGGTAAAGATATTCGGTTTCATTCATTCATTCTGAAGGACATATCGTTCGGAAGTTATTTTTGGACAAATTCCCAGATTGTTTTGCACTGCAGTACCGATCGGTCTTCCAGATTCCGGACGTTTGTTGTGAATCGCTTGGCAACCACACATTAGTATTCCAGTCCAGAGCAGTAGAGGCACGTTAAATCTTCGGATAATCCCGCAGATATGGCATCTCGGGGTATTCGGGATAAGGCTTCCCTGGGTCGGTGGCTTGATGGGCCAGATTGTCTGTACGCCGGTAATGATCTACCAGTATTCCTGCCAGCTGAATCAGGGGTTCCCGAAGGCATAGAATATAAGCGTGCATCTAAATGTGTTAATGCTATATGCTCAAGGGCTGAGATCGGCGTGTTGTTCAAGCGCTACTCCGATTGGTTTAAGCTTACGAAGGCTGTGGCTTGGTGGTTGAGGTTTTTAAAGTATATTGA